GAACGATTGTGGTTCAGAGGGAAGCGATAAAAGCCTCAGAGTTGATCTTTCTCCAAGGAAGAAAACAAGCAGGACACGCTAGCTGGTTCCCTCCAAAACTCGCATTGAAATCTGTGACAGTTTCAGTCAGGAGTTGCTTGTTTTCTTCCTTTTCTGAGGCCGATAACTCCCCAGAGGCTTCACGCTGGGGTGGGCAGGAGGGTTGACTTTAGTAAAGGTAGAATTATTTCTCTTTACACTTTTAAGGTTACAGGAGTTACTTGCCTTTTAAAAACAAGCCAAGGAGCTGCCCTGCCTGTGCTCCTAGATGATGGTGCAGGAGCTAAAGGCAGAGCCCCGTTTGTTGGTGCTCTGCGTTGGCACGAGTTTTCCCTTCCCGTAGTACCCCGAGAATATCGCCCTCACATCAATCTTTTTAGACAGGTCAAGCATCCACATACCATTATCAAAGTACAGCAGTTTCCCTCCTCCAATTTCCCCCACTTGCTCCCCTTTGTTCCCCACTTTTTCCAGCTTCACAAACTCCAGCAGGTCGAGCCCGGTCTGGACGGCTTCGACGCCGTTGGCGCAGCCGAGGGTGATGTGGGCCCGGCTGCCCCGGGGGAGGTTGTCCGTGGGCAGGATCTTGTCAGCATCCCCAGGCCAGAGCAGCAGCTGCTGCTCGCTCAGCGCGATGCGAGCCCCGACAGTCTTTGTGGTGATGAACAGCCCTGAGATGGAGAGGGTGAAGCCTTTGCCATAGGAAGCCTTCACGGCCTGGAGGAGAGGGACACGCACACAGGACAGCATTAGTGCCTGTGGGTGAGGATTCATGGTGCTGCACTGGGGCCACTGTCCCCATGCTGCTCATGGCAGCTCTTGCTGTGACATGGTCAAAATACCCAGAGCAAGAAGAAGGTCAGTGCCCGATGTCCCAGCTCCGTAGATTTGGAGCTGGTAACATCTTTGTCCTTCACAAATTCCAGTATTTAACCTGGGCTTATGTGCTCTGAAATAATCCATCTGGGAATCTAAATACCTCAATTCATCATCATTCAGCTTAAGCTGTCAGAGATGATGCAGGAAGTCGTGTGTGATTGGGGAAAGTGGAAGTTTTGGGTTTTTTTGAAATAGGAAACAATCACAATCTCCACAATTTGGAGTTTTCTCTGCACAAGCCACATGGATGTAGTCCCTGTATTTGACCTCTTGGGTCAGAGCAAAGCCCATCCCCAACTCTCTCCCAGGCTCATGGACACCCCGCTGGGGAGGGAGGGGACACAGGGGATGTGGGGAGGAGGTGGGGCCCCAATACTCACTTCCTGCTGCGCATATTCCTCGGCTCCAGCTGCTTTTCCAAACTCAGTGTATTTCGTGGTGCAGTGCAGGACCCCAGGTGGCCTCTTCACAAAGTAGCTGGTGAGATCTATTTTTATTTTGGGATCTTCAGTGGCAGAAAGAACTGTAGATGGAGGTAAACAATGTCACTGTCACAAAGTGATACCCCTGATGTCAACACGTGAGCCCTGATCCGGTCTCAGCTCCCTTCCTTATCTTCACATCTTGTCTCTGTGACTGCTGGGGAGCAGCAGTTTGGTGAGAAACCAAAGCCCTCCCTCCTCCTAGGCTCACCCCAGATGGAGCCAGAGAACAGAAGCTCCTATGCATCATCGTGGCTCTCTTAAACCTGATGGTGTGAGAGTCCCCTAAGGGATGGGATTGTTCAGCCTTTCCCATTTCTCTCTCTTTGCCTTTTTCCCACCCAACCCCTTGGAGCCAGGGGACACCCAGGATCCCTTGTCCTGCTGCTGCCACCCAAGCTCAGTGCCCTGTGGGGCCAGAGCTAAACAGACTTGGGAAAAACTCTTTAATTTATTTTTACTTACAAAAGCAACTTTGTCAACTATGAGGATCAGGTTAGTAGCTTTAAAAAGCTTTCTTGTTGATAGCTTTAGAAATTGACTTTAGAAGCTCATCAGACTTGTTAACATCAACAGGTAAGAAAGTGGTAAGACAACATCGATACATACAGTATTTACTCTCCTTTTTGAAGGCTTTGAGACTCGCAAGCTCATCCAAGAATGCCTGGCCAGCCTTCCTCAGGATCTCCGAACTTCTTTTGCTCAAAAACCACCCAAAATACATGGGGAGGAATTCCTTCTCCAAGCTTGGCTTCATCTTCTTCAGCTCTTCCACAGATAGTTTCCACTGATTCTTGTCCTTTAGCTGGGGACAATCCAAGCGCCAGGGGGTTTTGGGCTCGGCGAAGATGACTTTGTAGCGGTACTTGTCAGCAATGTCAAAGAGCTGGTCCAGCCGTTCCCGCTCATGGTGAGTGTCATCCAAAACGATGACGCTGATCTCCCGTTTGCAATAGTCAACTAGATCCTCATCCACCTTGGAGTACTCTTCGGGAATGGAGCTTCTTATTAATGGTGTAATTTTATAGTGATCAACAGAGATGACCTTGCAGGCGTCTTTGTAGCGATCGTGGATGGCCTGGGCCAGGGTGGACTTCCCACTGCCAGGCAGGCCCCGGAGGATGAAAAGGGTTTTGGATTCTTTGAGTGTGGAGATGGTGTCTTCGTCATCCAGGAATGGGAAATGCAAACTCTCAGGTCTCTCTTTTGCTGATTGAGTAGACATTTTTCTAAATATTTTAGGCAGGAAAGTGTGACTCTTCTTGGAGAAACCTCTGTTCTGAAATGGAAAGAGAAAACACTTTGCAGGGCAGGAACCCCAGAGACAATGTGGCCCTGCTGGGACCTTTAGTGGAAAAGTTGGGGCACACGGAGCATCTCCCCCACACTCCCTCACTTGGTCACCCTCCTAAGCTGACACCTTCTCCCACAGCTGCTCTGGCTGGTCACACAGCAGGGATCCACTGCATCCCACCCAAGGGCTGAAGCTTCAGCCCTGCTCCCCACTCTGGCCTCAGCAGCTGCAGTCCTGCCCCACTAGGAAGGGGTTTCGCAGGCACCACGGGCTGCCACAAAGCCCCACCCAGGCAGATGGGTGACACATTTAGTCTGAACGCTTGAACAAACCCCTGTGGCTGCCAGATGCGAGGGCAGTGATCCATGGAGGAGCCCAACGGGAACTGAAAGTCCCAGCAGGTTGAGAGCTGCCACACTCCTGTCCCTTTACCTGAATCACAAACTCTCTTTCCAGGGAAGAGGGTGTTTCCTAGAGCAGCCTGCTCTCTCGGAGCTGCACTGAGGATCAGCAGCTGAGCTCCTCGCTGGAGGGAATTTGGGCTCCTCTTGGGAAGAGCAACTCAAACGGCTTCCAGGAAAGCCAAGCCCCTCCCAGCAGATGCTAGGCAGAACTCGAAACTGAAACCTCGAGTGCTGCAGGAAACGAAACACTCGTGGTTGGCAGCAGTGAGCAGGAAATGCCGCTGGGAGCTGGCATGGGCTCTCCCTCCCCTTCTGCCAGCAGCTCCGGTAAGCAGAATCCCAGAATAATTCCCAGCAGAGCCTGGGAAAACACGGGACTGAAAGGAAACGAGGGAGTCCTCAATAGCATCAACGAGGCACACACTGTTTGTTGGGTCAATACATGAACCTTCCACCCCCTCAGCTGCCTGTGGGCCAGCCCAGCCTGGGATCCACTGGACCTGCTGTAGCCAAAGACCATGGGAGTGATGCCCAATAAGTGAGTTTTGCCTTTGATGCAAAAATTGAGAAGTTTTACATAAACCATAATTGCTCTGCCTGGGCCAGAAAAATGGTTTTCCAGTTTGCAGTTCTTAAAAAAGACTTTTCAGATGTTGATTTCCCGATCTCTTTATTCCAGAAGGTGTAGATGAGTTTTGGTTCCAAATGCCCTGGGAGCAGGAGCCCACAGCTCTCACGGGCACTGCCTGCCCTGGGCTCAGCTGAAACCCCACAGCAGACAGGGACAAACAGGCCCCTGAGAGCAGCAGGGACCTACGGGCTCCCCAGCGACCCCAGTGCTGCCTTCCCCGCGGACTCGGGGCTCAAAATGCTCGCACAGGTGAGTTACCTGGAGCGCTGCTCCTTCTCGCAGGTGCCCGCTGCCAGGGGGTCGCACGGCCGGAGTCGGTGCTGCGGCGGCCCCGGGTCAGGCTGTCCCCGCACCGGGCTGTCCCGCGGGCGGGGACCGGGGCCGCTATTCTGCCGTGGCAGCTGCTGAGGGGACTGAGGCGCTTTTCAGCCCCGTGAACAAAGGAACAATCGCGGCCCCCCCCGGGCCATTGTTCGCCGTCGGCTCGGGGACAACGGGCGCCTTCACGGCCCGGGCCGGGCGGACAAAGGCTCCGCAGAGCCCGGGGGAGCGGGGTCTCGCCGGACAATCTCCCATTGAGCCGGGCTCGGCCCCCCCGCCGCCCCCACAAAGCTCCCGCTTGTCTCCTGCTCCCCATGGAACAGGGGCTCGCGTGGAGGGAGAGATCGCCCCTCGTCCCGGGCTGCCCGTGCCCCGGCAGCCGCCAGGGGGTCCCGGGACCCCCGAGACGGAGCCACGGACCCCCTGGGCCGTTCTCGGGGCCCGGCTGCCTCCGGCGCACCCCAGACCCGGCGCCCACGTGTCGGCAACGCCGCCGGCGCTTCCGCCCTCGGGGGAATCGGAGCCTTTACCGGGCGGAGCGGCGGCCCCGATCCCGATGCTGATCCCGATGCTAGTCCCCATCCCGCCTGTCCCGCTTACCATGGTGAGGGCAGCAACTCCGGGGCGGCCGCCGGTGCGGAGCGGCGCGGCGGGGAAGCGGCTCTGGGGCGGACGCGCCCGCTGCTCCTTTCATAGCCCCGGGGCTCGCCCGCCCCCCGAGGGCTGGGCCAAACCCTCCCCGGGCCGGCGGGGGGGCCCCGGGGCTCAGCCCCCGCCCCGCCTGGCCGCGGAGCAGCCGGTGCCGGGGATGCTGCCAGGACAGTTCTGTGCCACGGCGGGGCCGGGGCTGTGACAGGGGGCACGGGGCGGGGGGAGGCAGCGCTCCGAGTACGGCGGCGACTCAGACCAGCTCCTTCCCTGCTAGGGACACACCACGCCAGTGCTGGGTATGACGCTTGCTCAATATTTATTTCATCTTCCCGTCTAGGCTCTACTTTTCCCCACTGCTCTCCTCTATTTCCTTGTCCGTTTCCCCCTCTTTAACGTTTCCGTCTGCTTATGTATTGGTCCTGTCTGCTTATTTACCGTTTCTGGCTTCCTCTTATGGCTTTTCATCTTAATTCCCCGCTTGTTGTTCCCCTTTCTCCTTCTCTTCACGATTCCCAGGGGTGATTTTTATGTTTTCACTGAAGGGGCGATCTGGGAAGGGAAAAGAAAACTTAAGCCAAGTCCTAGAACTCAGTAGCTGGGCACAATAAAAGCCCCCGGGCTCTCTTACCCTCACCAGGAATCTCACTCCCGTTTAGGTCCTGGGACGGCAGATGCTGCGCTGCACGGACTGAGGGGAGCAGCCCCGGGGGCTGGGGGCACAGCGCCCTGCCAGGACCCTCCCACCGAACCCCAGGGTGTGGGTGACACCGGGCCAGCCCGCAGGGGACACGCAGGGAGCGCTGCTATCTCCAACTCTAAGCCGGCACGGCCGGACCAGGGAGTGCAGCTGAAGCAATGCTGGATTTCCACCACGATTTTAACTCAATACTTGCAAGGAAACAGGTGCTGTGGGAATTCTAAGGTGCTGCTGATGAGCAGAACAGGAAAGTGGGTTTTTTTTCCCCATTTCTGGTTGCAGAGGTGTGAATGACAAGTACCTTCATGTGGGCTTTTTTCCAGCTCTGCAATGAAGCTTTTGCTCACATTGTCCAAGGCCTGAAAGGGATGAAGTTCTTAATAAAAGCCTCAGAAATGCAGCTACATACTCGACATTTTCCTGTTTTCTTTTGCTCTCTGCTATCATTACCAAATCCTTTCCTACTTTAAAACTGCATTTCTGTGGCATTACTGGCTGGAGTAGCCCAGCTGGGATAACAGCTACTCACAGAGGCTGCCCAGAGCTCCTCCTCCCCTCAGCAGCTCCCTTACCGCAATGATGCCATTTTGAGCAGCTTCACTGGACACAAGCTTCGCCTTCTCCAGAGCCCTTTCAAAATTCAGGATTGCAGACCGGTAATCTTTCAATTTCACTGGAACAGACGAGGATATCAGCTGGTTTAGCCCAGGATCAGGAGAACAGCGAGAAGTAATCAAGCCAGTCTTGATCTGAGCAGTTGCTTTGGCTGTTAAATCCTACAGATGTTTTCAGATTAGTTACTCCACCCTGTGCCCATATCTTTACCTTGTGCCTGTGCCACCAGCACAGTGGCGTGGAGCTGCCACTCCACATCTCCCTCTTCATCTGCTGCCTGCAGGGACTTCTGGCCATAATCTTGGGCTTTTTCGGCTTTTTCCAGCTCAAGGTAGCACCGCCCAATTTCATGGAACAGCCAGGCCTTCTCCAGGCTGGATTTGGCCAGTGGAATCTTCTCCTCCCAACTTCAAGCAGAGTAAGACAGACATACCTTTACCAACCTCACTGGGTACAGTTATGAGTCAATCACTGATTTGACAGCAAAGGGTTCAGGTGTGAAAATGTCCCTGGGCCTGGCTGCAGTGAGAACACACAGCTGAAGAACCGTGATCTGGGTCACACCACCCCCCGATGCCTTTGCTGCTGGGCTGTACATACGTGTTGATGGCCTGCTGGAACTTGCCAATTCGGGCGTACACGTGGCCAATGTTGTCCAGGGCCCGGGACACGGCGTCTGTCAGAGAGCTGAGACAGGGAGACAAAGGGATTGTGGCACTCACACCGTTCTGTTCCTCACTCACTCTGGGTTTCTTCAGCCTCATGGTCCCTTTGGTGCTCCCCATGCCCTCAGAGAAGCGTTGGGAAGTAAAGGAGCCAGGTGAGGCTGAAAGTCATGAAATCAGGTTTAATTTTTTATTTTATCTACAGCTCTGGTTGACCCCATGAGACACAGGAGAAATGGTTTAGCTTTGCCTTTGATTACTATTAATTTTTGTGCAAATCCAGCAGTCCTTGGGAAATTCTTTCTGCTTTTCTTTGCCTCTGTTTCCCTCTGTTTCCCTGACACTCATGAATGATTTCTGTCTTTCAAAGCAAAAACCCAAAAAGGTGTCTGCGGTGTGTCTGCAGGCTCCTGACACCAGCCCTGATCCTGTGCTGGGACTGAGCTTTGCTCCATTCTACAGACAGCTCCTTCAGTAATAACAGACCCTGTGGGCTTTAATTTTTTTCTTAATTATCCTCATTCTCATCTTCAGAAGCAGCTTTGCCTACCCTTACCTCGGAGATGGAAACGCCTATGCAAGGAGCAGATAAATGCGATGGGAGTCATGGAATCAGAGCGGCCTGGGTGGGTCCAGCTCAAACCCCCCCATCTCGGGGTCATTAACGCGAGTCATTAATGAGTCATTAGCAGCGTCTCCAGCTGCAGCCGCCAGAGGGCGCGGCCCGCCCGTCACCGCCGCTCCATGACAGCGCCTTCGCCGTTAGAGAGATCCCAAACCCGGGCATCCCCTCCCGCCCCCTCCCGCTAATTCCTGCCTTTAACCGGCCTACTCGGGGAGTGGGACCACCAGGAGAGCGGCAGCCTTCTCCTAAACCGACATTCATTTCCGAAAGGATTTTTGAAAATTAGAAACAACCACTCATTTTAAAAGCTCTGTGCACTACTGCCAAATGTAATTCCCAAATCACTTCAAGCCACTGTTCCATGATTTCTGCTGTGCTTTTCAAACTCTTGCTAAATCTAAGATTACATTTTGCTCCACTGTGGTTCAGTTGGAAGAGCCTTGGGATGTGTCTGGTGCAGACAGGTAAGTGCACCTGGAAGGGACCTTTATTTCAAGCCATGCTTAATGGTCTCTATGAAAAGGAGTTTAAGACAAAATGTAGCGGAAAAGTGGTGCAATTTCAAGCCTGATCTTCCTGAGAAGAAAGTGCCTACTCAAGATTCAATGCTGAGACTCGGACTTGTGTCCTTCTGCTTTGCTGCAGCAGAGGTTTTGATGTGCCCTGTGCTGTGGGTCCTTAAAAATCTGCTTCAGGCTCCTTATTTTGAAATAGTGAAGATAAAAAGTCACCACACACCCTAATACTTGGGCAGAGCTGAGCGTGTAACCCTGTTAAACCCCCCAAGTGAGAAATACATTACCTAATGCTAAAACACCCCCACAGAGGCACTTTCCCCTTTCTCCACCCACCTGAACTTCCCAGAACTTACTTCTGCCTGGCACAATCCAGATCCATCTTATGGCTGCGCAAAGCTGCCTCCATCTGTCCCATTGCCAACTGTGCATTCCCAATGCAGCTGTGGAGGTTCCCTATCAGTTCATTCTTGTTGGGAACTTCCTTCTCTGACCACGCCTGTATCTTTTTCAGCAAACGTTCAGCTTTCCTGCAGCTTTCTTCAGCGGAACCTCTGGCCAGTGCTGGGGACAGGGAGCAGAGTTTGACACTGGGGTGTGACACAGAGACATTGAGAAGTTGTTAATTCCCCATCCCTGGAAGTGTTCCAGACCAGGCTGGATGGGGCTTGGAGCAACCTGGGATACTGGAAGGTGTCCCAGCTCATGGTGGGATGGTGGAACAGGATGAACTTCAAGGTCCCTTCCAACCCAAACCATCTTGGCATTCTGTGATACTTGGGAAGTGAGACCTGGTGAAGTGTAACCCTCAGACAAAGCTTGGGAATAGTCAGAGCTCCCCACAGCAGTGGGAGGCACTCGGCTTCTAGCCAGGAACCTACACAGATCAATATCCTCCATATTCTTTTCGATGGATCTGCTGATGTCAGATGGTTTCTGTTTCTTGTCCTGCTTGCGCTCCTGCCGCAGGACCTTGCGCTCGTACACCCGGGCGTAAATCGGCTTCTGCTGCTGCCAGAAGTCCCGCCGGCGGTTCAGGTAGGAGATGCCATCCAAAACCAGGTCCATGACTTTGATTCCCTGCCTTGTGCAGCTCTGCATCAAGTCTGGAAATAAAATAAGGTAGAACCCAGATGACAATCAACAGACCTGAGCTGCAGCTCCGTGGGGAATTGATTTGGAATGTTTTTCTGTTCTGACACAGACAGTCCTGGAAATGAAAATGTCTCATTCTCCTCAGAGCTGAGGTGACGGGAGAGTTAACAATAAACTCTGTTACCCATCCCATGTGGTTCAGTGAGCTGAGCTGGTGTTCCAGCCTCATATCTGCTGCATTCTCTGCTGATCAGAGCCAAGAAGGGGCCCAGTAAGTGGGGCCAGCTGTGCTGAGCACCTGTCCTCTGGGACAGAACATCTGTATGGCACATCTGTATTGACAGGACACTTTGAACAGCGCTGTGGATCAGGTTGGCAGATGGAAACTGAGAGGGCTTTTGCCTGTCTGCAAACCAGACCCTGCACATGCGTAATTAATGCTGGCAACATTGTAAAACCTGTGAGCAAACCAAAGCTTAATAACTTCTCTATTTCTGGGCGAAAAAAAAAAAAAACATGACTAAAGGCGAATCATCTTTGTGCCTTTTCCTAAAATAAGATACTTCTCCAATTCCTGCATGTTGACCTTGACAACATTTACAACAAACCCTCAGAGGAGTCACAGCCCCATGAGCTGCCTGTGTCCCCACCGCTGTGAGCTTCATGTGCTACGTGAGCTCTGGTACAACTAACCAAGAGTCAAAGGGATATAAAAGAGGAAAATAAATAAAGAAGAATAAAAAAGAGATGAAAGAAAAACAGAATCTGCTGAGAAGGAGAAACACCTTCATCCTTGAGCAACTTCTCCAGGAATGCTTTGTCAGCATAAAGCTCTCCCAGAAGCTGTTGCTCTGTTTTTGGACTCTTCTTCTTCATCTGTTTTTTATCCTTTTGATCCTTTGGTTTGTTTTGCTGTTTCTGGTTGTCTTTTTTGCTCCGCAGCTAGAAAAAAGCATAAGGAGTTAGGGAAAATCGGTGGGGAATACTGGAATGAGGAGAATTCTGTTTATACTCCATGTAAGACAGCTTGTTTTTTAAATAAAAGCAGAAAGTCAGTGTCTCACCAGCTGCTTTGGCCATGAGCAACTGAAATTCTGCAGCCAAATGTGCTCCCTGGGGACTACAAGGGTGTTACAGAGAGAGTAAGAACTAGTTCTGGCCTCTCAGAAGAAGAAGACACTACTGCAATGGAGCACCCCGAAGTGAAGCAATAAAGAAAGTGCCCATTATCAAAACCGTGACCCTTAAACATCAGGTAAACCTAAAGTCAATATTGGAGCTCACTGTACCCTCCTCAACTTCTGGGCTGTTACTCATTAGCTTCAGATGGGTGATTGGCAACACCCCCAGACAAGGGCTGCAGGAGAAATTCCAGGTTTTGTTCCTTCATTGTGGGTCTTCCTGCCCTTCTGCCTTCCCCTTTAAATTCTGGGTGGCTTGACCCAAACCTGCATTAGAAGCAGGTGACAAACACTCTCATGGAAGGCAGTGTGTTTTAATGCTCAAGAGGCCCTTCAGAGGCCCACAGTGGGGACTGTCACTCCTCTGGTGCCCATTTCAGCCTTACTCTATCAGCAAGAGCCCCGTGCTGTACCTCTGCCTGCCTGCTCACAAAGCACAGCTCCTCCTTGCTCTCCAGCTTCACCGAGGATGGATCTGCAGACACAGAGGAGTCTGTGTTAGTGCTGCACAGCTGCCATGCAGGGTGTTGTCAGTAAAATGCCCATAAAGGTGCCAAGCCCAAAATGTTCGGTTTCAACCAAAGCTTTTCTAATTCTTTCCCGTGGAATGGGGGGTGTTGGTGTGCTCTGGGAGCAGGGAATGCAGCTCATTCCCCAGCTCCTCTTGGGATTTTAAATCATATGGCACCGGGGGCTCCTGTTGCAATATTCCTACAGACAGGGTACATCCTACGTGGAAACTGAAGGAGAAAGATGCAGGTTCTTCTGGGGGATGACAGCTGGAGCATAAAATGGAAGGAAAGGTATTTTAAAGGTTTGTGCACTGATTAGGGCAAAAGGCCCATTGTGTTTTCACTTGACCCCCAATACCACCATCTGTCTGCACTCTGGGAGGGAAGAGTGAGGAACAGCTTTTTGTTTGGTCTGAGAGAAGGACAGAGCTTCCAAGGCTGCTGCAGAATCCCCTTTGGTGCAGCCACAGGGCCCAGACCAGCAGCACAAACACAGGCAGGTCACAGGAGCAGGTGTTCCCATCCATCCAGGTGAAGCAGAGTCAGAGAAGCAGTTTGAAGATGTACCCTGCTAATGCGTGTGCATTTCCCAACTATTCAAACATCCAGATTCATGCTGACATGTTTCCATGCTTCCCTGTATCTCAGAGCTATCTAAAATAAGAGTTTTCTAGTTTTTTAATCCATTCTTGTGCCTGCAGCCCAGGGGGTCCAAAGGTGGCTAGAGCTCTTGGCTCGGGATATTGAGCTGGGAAGATTCCAGCTGGAGCTGTGATGATATCTGAGCATTGTGCTAAGCTCAGGAAACAGCAGGAATGGAGGAAAGCAAGCCAGATCTGGAAACCTTCCCTGTTTTTTAAATAACTATCCCATATGAAAGCGCTGCAGGCTCTGGTGCACTGGCACGTGTTAATCCCTGGCACTGGGGGAGGGCTGAAGTTTTGAAATTTTGGGACAGGGAGGCCCTGGCCTACCTGGGAATCTGTGTAGGGTGTGAGTGGGGTGTGCCAGGTGCTGGGCAGGGACAGGCTCTGGGATCCACCAGAGCGGCTCCAACCCACCATGCAGGTTTGGCAGCCCCAGAGGAGCCCAGCACGGGTGCTCCACTCACGTGGCAGAGGTGGCAGCCCCAGGTGAGGTGTGTCTGTGCCCCACAGTGGGACATGTTCTGTCTGTGCCTGCTGGCAGGGCTGAGAGAAAAAGTAAGAGAAAAGGGACGAGTTTTCTGTTTGTTTTGAAGCCCATGAGGTCCTTGGCCTTTCCTGTCTCTACAGGACCTGCTTGGTGATCAGAGCCAGGGATGGTGAAAGCAGAGCTCGTAACAAGAGTCAACAGTTTCACTGCTCTTTTGCAATGAAAATTGGAGGAGAGTCAGGATTTCAAGAGGCCAGTCTGAGGTAGCATGGCACATTTCATTCCAAACTTTGAATACAGGGATAAAGGTCTCAAAATGGATTCTGTAAGTAGTGCTGGAGGTAGATAATAGAATCATGGAATCTCAGAACGGTTTAGATTGGAAAGGACTTTAGAGCTCATCCAGTTCCATCCCCTGGAATTCCACCTCCCATGGGCAGGGACACGTTCTAATATCCCAGGGTGCCCCAAGCTCCATCCAAGCTGGCCTTGGTCACTTACAGGGATCCAGGGACAGCCACAGCTTCTCTGGACAACTTGTACCAGGGCCTCCTCACCCTGACAGAGAAGAATTTCTTCCCAATATCTCATCCAACCCTGCCCTCTGACAGTGGGAAGCCATTCCCCCTTGTTCTGGCACTCCAGGCCCTTGTAAATAGTGTCTCCAACTTTCTTGTCAGCTCCCTCATGTACTGAGAGGCCACAAGCAACCCACTGATGAGATGAGCTGCTCTGGCCTGTATTCTGTGGAAAGTTTCCATTATGATTTTGGAAACTGGAGTGTCAGGATTTACCTACAGAACTAACAAGGTCTGACACTGTATGAACAGGCATTCAGGAGAGAAAGAAAGAACAAAAGAAAAAAGAGCAGGGTTGGATCTTCCTGGTGTTTCTGGATTTATCTGCCACAAATAACATAGACCCAGAAGCAGGGAGGCTCTGGTGTGGGGCTCTTGGGTCACTAGCAGAGCTGATTCGCCATCAGCTGTGCCCTGAACAGCATTGTCCAGGCTCATGGGTGCCAGACAGTGACACTTCTTACTCCCAATGCAGTTGACAATTGCCTCCTCGGCCTTGTTGATGCCCAGCTGGAACTTGTGCAGATCGGGGCGGAGCCTTCGGCCTCGGTGGTAAAACACAAGCGCGAACTCAAAGTCACCCATGGTGTACAGTGTCTCTGCTTTTTGGTAAAGCCCCTAAAACGACAGTTGGGGGAAGAAATTAATAAAATGAGGGACAACTTTGATGGATCTCAAGTAACTCCTGTCAGGCATATGTGAGAGCCCAGGGCTGTAACAACTTGAACACATTAAACCCCAAATCTGGAGATGCCTGAGCACCTCAACACCTCTGAAAGCAGTAGAAATCTCAGAAGTGTCTGGAATAAGCTCCTTCCTCACAGCTCTGCCTCAGACTCTGCAGGGTCTCATAGATCCAGGCCAGCCCTTGGTCACCCCCCTCCTACCCCTTCAGCTGGTTACCTCATAGAACGTTTTGTCAATTTGGAGTGAGGCTTCAGCATCTTTCAAGGAGTTTTCTGTGTCTCCAAGTTTCAGAAAACACTTGGAGCGGGTGATAAGGCAGTGCTTGTCTCCTGCCCTCAGCTTCAGTGCCTGGAACCACAGACATGGACATGTCACCTGTGCTGGACGTGTCACCACACATGGATATGTCACCTGTGCTGGCTCAACAACACAAACACACAAGTGCAGGTATTTGATGCCACAGTTCCCACATGGATCTTGATGATGGATGAGGATAAAACTACACGGACTTTACTGAAGAGTCTTCTCTTGTTTTTCACAGGTTCTCTGTGCTGCAGGCGCTGCCCTGTCCCTGAGCTACCCTATCAGGGTCACCCCTCGTGCTAAGACCTCCTGGGGACACGTCACTCCGTGCCTCTCCCTCTTGCCGCGGATCCCCCCGCTGCCTCTTCCCTCGACTGAATCAAACCGCGCCCCGTCGCGGCGGCCCCCCCCGAGGCCCCTCCCGCCGTGGGCAGCTCGGTGCCCTCGGGCCGCGGCGCCCTCACGTCATTGAAGCAGCCCAGAGCCTTGTTGTGCTGGCCGCGCCGGCTCAGGGTTGTCCCCTCGGTCATGAGACTCCCGAAGGAGACGACGGGCAAATCGTCATCCTCCGCCATGGCTGCGTTGCGGCGCCGTTGCCAAGCAACGGTTACAGGAGAATAGCCACTTCCGGTGAGCTACCCCGCCCCGGAAGTGACGAACCACGCACCGGCGGTGCTCACGTGGGGTGCCGGTGTACGGGGCGGAGCTGGCCCCGGGCGGATCCCGGTGCTGCCGCCCGGTGCTCGCTGCCGGCGGTCCTTGCCGTGCCTCTGACCCGACCCGACCCGACCCGACTCGACTCCATGCGGTTCTGTTCTTCCACCCTCGTTCCCGGAGCCATGCCCGGCAGGGACGGGTGGGAGCGCGGCCTCTCAGTACAGCCGCGGTGCCTCGGCAGCTGCCGAACACCGGGCAGAACCGGTTCCTCTGTCCCAGCGGGCATTGGCCTGTGTGTTCCGCAGTGGCAACACGAGGGCAGCCATCGCTTCCCTACAGTACTGGTTTGGTACTCGCCGCTGGCCCCGGTACCGGTTTCAGCGCTGAGGGATCTAATCCTGGCCAAATAAATGACGAACGGCAAATGCTGCTGGTTCGTTCCCATCAGCGCTCCCGTCCTGACTTTATTTTGGCGCTGGGTCAGACCTTGTGCCAAGATCTTCGCTTGAAACACTTTGTTCCTGCCAAGTGACTCAGAGTAAGGATGGGGGGAGGGCATCTGTCCCGCTCGCAACCGGTGACATTTAATGTCACCACGAGGCGGATCAGCACTGCCAGGCTCCGGACCCTGAGCGGCGCTGCCCTAGGCTTGGCCGTGGCCCAGCACCGCTTGCCGGCCGCCGCTGGGGCGGGAGGCGGAGTGCGGGTCACGCCAGGGTAGGGAGACACGCACTGCCGAGCTCCGGAGTGGGCGGGCGGGATGACACACCCCGTCCCCAGGGAGCCGGGCAGGGAATTTCAACCAGAATAAGCGTTCGTTTTTGCAGGGAGATTTCCCCCCCACTAGCACACCCCGACCCCAGCGGGGTGGGCAGCAACACTGTGTTCGTGAGGGCTGTGGCAAGTGTGCCCGGTCACTAGCCCGGTGACTTTGTCTTGGGGACATCACAGCCCCGGCCATCGCCTGTTCACCGCTCCGGGTGCTCCCTCAGCGCCGATGATGAGCGCGTTGGTCACAGGCTGGAAATACCAGGAGAAAAGTAAGTGTGAGCTGGGTATTCCCAGGAAGCAGGAGAGCCGTGGCTGCTGCCTTGAGAGGCTAGTGAGGAAACGGAGCAGCCGGGAGGCAGGATGCAGCGGGCTCGCCCCGCTGCCCCGCTCCCGTTGGCCGCGTCCCCTGGGATTGCGCTCCAGTGGTGCCGGCGGTAGTGGCACCGGTGATCCGGGTCCGGTAATCCTGCCACTCCCCCGTGGGCACCACCGGGCACCGCCCGCTCCCGCAGTCACAACACGCCCGTGGGAGGATTCTCGGCGTGTCTCGGCGCTGAGGAAGGAGCCCCGTTCCCGCCGCCGGTGCCGTTGGGCGGTGGGCCTAATGACGTCATCGTGGCCTATGACGTAAATGGCGGCGCGTCTGGCGTGGGGGGGGTCACGGCCGAGGGCGCCGCCATGGGTGGGGCGAGGGTTCCAGAACTACGAGTCCCACAAGGCTACGCGGCCGCACCCCACCGGCGGCGGCCAATGGGTGCGCGGCGGGCGCTCAGGCAACGCGCACGTGGCAGCGGCGGCGGCCAATGGGCGGCGGCGGCGGCCGTAGCCCGATGGGCCGGGGAGGCCGCGCTCCGCGAACAAAAGGCGGCGACGGCGGCGTGAGCGGGGCCGGAGCGGCAGCGGAGCGGAGTGGGAGCGGGGCCCAGGTGAGTGCTGAGGCGGCTGCAGCGCCGAGCTCTGTCTGGCGTGTGGCGGGGCCTCGCGCGACTCCTCTGCCGGCGCTACCGCGGTGCCCACGCGTCTGGGGCGGGAGCCGCGCTGGTTCTGGCCGGCCCCGGCCCCGGCCCCGATAGCTCGCGGTAGGGCGGGCGAGTCCCGGGAGCGGCCCGCAGCCTGGGGCTTCGCGGGTGTGCCGGCAGGAGCGGCCGTCCCGGTGCGGTCCGGAGTGGAGCTCCTCGCTCCCGCCGGTATGGTCGCCCTGACCTTGCGGGTCCGCCGGGGTCTCCTCGCAGCGGTGCCGGTGCCCGCTCGGGTCCCGGTGGCTGGGGCGGCTCTGGGACACGGACAGTGTGCGGTGGTCACAGCGCAGAGATTGTAAACAAACGGCTGGGAAAGGGGTCCGGCTTTATGTGTTTTTCGCCCCGGGTCCAGGGGGGCCTTGCCTCTCCTGTCATAGGGAAAATCCTTTCGTGGCCATCCTGGATGGATCCCGCGTCGGGATCACGCTGTTCCCATATGAGCAGCAGCGTGCACAGCCCATGTGTCGCTCCCTTCCCGGGACAGTTGGCTGTGTTCCAGCTCTCCTGTTTGCTGCTTGCAAACATCTCCTGTTTGTCTTGCTGCTTTCGAAATTCTCATCCTGTTATACAGACTCTCCCTTCTCTCTGTTAAACAGTTTGTTCTCTGCAGGCTGAAAACTGAGGTCCACCCTGGCCATCCTGTTTGTAGGTGTCTGTATTCTTTCTGATCCCTAACTGGGCTTGGAGCTCAGAGTATCAGCTCTGCGGTCCAGTGCTGTTACCTGAACCCTGTTGGATGTCCTGCATGTGAGACTCTACAGCTCTCTCCAGGTATCAGGGCTCTTCCCATGGTTTCAGCGCTGCCTGAAGTGGTTCCCAAACAAGGACAGCTACAGTTGGATGTCCTGCCCAGCCATGGTGGCCAGGGAGCCCTTTGCTGCTGTACACTGTGCAAGTGGCTTAAGGAATAAGCTTGTTAAGGAGCCCCAAGGCTGCAGAAGAAGATGATCTTTAATGACAGGATTCCCAGATTCCCCCGTTGTGGCACTGGGTGCCCACCAGGTGTGGGGAGCCTGTCTGCTGCTCTCCATTAGCCACATGTAACTGGTCCATGGTCCATGCTCCTCCCTGGCTGCTGTGGTTTTCTCAGAGGTTCCCTGTGTTCAGGGAGCCTCCCTGAGAGCTGGGCATGCAGCACCTGTTTGCATCACCCCACACAGCATTTCCCAACTGCAGCTGTAGGACCATGACCTCGCGTTGGCTGCGGCACTGAGCCCTCACCGTCCTCTGATGAAACACACGGGTTTGCCAGGTGGGAGCTGATGTAACTTTTCATGCTGCCATGGGCTGAAAATACTGGCTTAGCTTGAACTGTGTTAATAAATGACCCGGACTGGAGGGGAGAGGCTGCTTAATGGTGTGGATTTGTTGACACAATTCTTGGGAGAGTGGGTGTCAAGTCTTCACTGCAGAGGGAGTCCTTTCCTCCTGCTCTGAAGTGTCCTTCAGGTGCAATTGGAGGATGGTACCAATCCAGACCTCAGGGAATTCCATGTGTGAGCACCACATTCTGTGTGAACATAGATTGTGAAGATGAGTTACACCTCTTCTTCTGGTTAGAAGAAAAACAAACTAAATCAATGTCTGTAATACTTTCTTTCCCCTTGCAGAGCCGACCATGTCGCACTGAGCAGTGCCACATCGTTGATCTTCTGGGAGTTAGGGAGGCTTTATCTGAGTTCTGTGTCAGGAATGCCTCCTTGTTTCTCTGTCTATGCTTCATTTGGATCTGTTGCATTCATTCATCAGCTGATTGCTGATCTATTGGGGCAGATGTATCACTTGTGTCACAGCAAACACAACATCCAGCTCAAGGACTCTTGCCTGCCTTGCCACCATCTCACTGATTTTTCTCTGTCAATACACTCAGGAAATTATCCCCAAGCATCAACTTCTTTGCATGTATTTGACAGATGTTTTGAAGGAATAAGAGCTGCTGATCTCCTGAAAATATGATCTAATCCTTGTCTCTTACTTGCTCTGGACTTGCTAGCAAGGGCTGGAATCCAGCTGTTTTTGAATTGGTGGGTATGGATGATGAGAGAACAGTCTCCAAGGTGTTGCAGGGGAACTGTTTGTGTTGGAGCCTCACTGAATGAACATAAATCATTCATGGAAATCTGTGGCACTTGTGCTGCTGACATGAATCTGCCCTTGTGTGTGGTGGGTGCAAGGTCTGGGGCTTGAAGTGCTGAGAAAATTGCAGCTCAGTCTTGGCTAATGAATACTGAATAGAGCAGTGGAAGAGAATGTTTCTAACCCACAGCTTGTGTTTTGGGCAGAGAAAGGGACTTCTTTCCTGTGTTTGTCTTCAGAAGTGCAGCCACTGCTCTCCCCAGCACTGGTCATCACTGCAGGTGCTAAACATGACTGAAAATAAGATTATTCTGACAGATGAGAGTTTGAACCTGTCTCACTCCTGGGAAACTGGGAAGATTCAGTTCCTCTGCCTCTGTAGTGATATGAGGCTGTGCCCCTGCTTGGTGTTAGCAGAGCAGATGCAGTGAGTTAATGGATCTGCTCTGATCGTGTCTCCCTGGTTGTCAAGGGACCTGCACGAGCACACACAGCCAGGAATTGCTGATGCCCTATGGATTATTTTCTTGCTGATCTCTTAGCTTAACAGTTCAGCAGACTGAAGCAATTGCTTTGTGCTCTCTGTCCCACGAGAAAGGCAGTGTTAGAAAGGCGGTGGAAAAACTGAATGAGGGGTGTGATTAAAGACTTGCTAATATTTAGGAAACGTGAAACTCGGGCAGATAAGGTCAGAACAGCCTCATTCCTGCTGTTCTGTTGCCATGACACAAGGATGTTATTTTTTCATCTACTGCTATTGTAAGAATTCTGTAGTTTCCTTTCTTTACCCCAGTAGTGTTATTGCAAAAATGAGGTGATGAAGTTGTGAGGGAAACCGGGGAGCAGCAGAATGGAGCAGCATAAAAAAGACCAGAAATGAGAGAGGAACAGCTCTGCTTTGTGTCCCTCAGGTTTAAGGAGTCCCATGTGTGTCACTTGTTCCCACTGAGGTTTTTTTATGGGACTATTCTTAATAAGATCTGAGGGACACCCTGTGTCCAGTGCCCTGCAATTGCAGGGTATTTATTGGCATAACCAATATCAACCAATCAGCCTGAG